GGAGAAACGGAGCGAGAATGAGCGAGGAAACACGAACCAGCTTTACGGGGCATTCCACATAAACGCAACACGCCGGCTCAATTACGAGTTAAGTGGGTATTAATTGTTTACCCACCTCGGGTAAGATATTGGCTTCCCACACGAAAAAAGTTGGGGCCCGGCGAAAAAAAATGGCAAACATCAGCCAGCGGTAGAAAAAGGGGGAGGAAGGGTTGGCCGGCAAGTTTGGAGTTTTTTTTGTACGATGTGTTGTGAAATACACGTCCCAGAAAGCTTGTAGGGGTTGCTCGGCTTTGGAAGGAAAAACATGCGGATGGACAAAAATTGAAAAACCAGCTTAAGAAAAATTGGCTAAAAGTGCAAGTTTCCCCTTTAAAGTCTGGAAAAGGCCAAAAATTGTTGTTTTGAAGATCCCCTCAAACCCCCTGGGAATTGCCACCAATGTAAGTATTTTTACAAACTTTCCAAATTTTAGGTAAAAACTGGATTTAAAAAAAAAAAAAAACTACAAGCTCCCTAGACCCCTTCTTTCACGTACTTGTGTTTGACATGGGAGGCACCAGTTTGGTAGTTTCCTTTCCGTTTTAGGGTTTGGTGAAAACATATAATCTACCCAATTTACAAAAATATCACACACTTTCTAATTAAATATTATAACTGCATGTTATATGATTCCATGCTTTAAGAAAAGACAACAATGTTTGGTTTAATGGAAGATATTTAAATTAAAAACAGGGACCAGCGCGCCAAGCTGTCTTGCTCAGGTTGGACGGCAAAGCGGACTGTTTCCTTTTCATACTCCATAGTAACGGCAATGGGGTGTTACTTCCGGCTATCAAAATAACTTCATAACTAGAAGCGTGATTATTAAAACCTTGACAGTACTTGACGGTCCAAATCTACTGTAGTGCTTGGTTATAAAAAAACAAAAATATTTTTAAGACAAGAAGGATATTTTAATTTTTTCACTATGTGGGAATCTGGAGACCACAGCTATGCTAGGCGAATAGCAGCGTTCCGTGGCAACCAAAACGTTTCAAGTTTCACCATTTTTCTGGGCGGATTTTTCTGAAAAAATCTTATACACACAACGGAGCCCAAAGCGGGTGATTATGTACATTCACTGGAAGTTAATATTATGGGGAAAATAAATATATATTTCTCGCCTAAAGATATGGTTTAAATTCAAAACGCATTTTTTATGCAGGAAAACTAACTCAAAATATTGATTTTTTTCCCACTAAAAAATCCAAGGAGAAATGGTTCGCCATGGTTTTTTGTTCTTCACGACCGGAATCTTGAAAAAGTCATGGACTTGGAAGCAAAACAAGTTAGGAAAAGAATAGGGCAGAAAAAATTTAACAGTCATACAATTTAAAGGGCCATTTATTGTAACCCCTATTTTTAGTAGACAAAAGTGTGTGCAAGTGCTTTATTATAATTAAAATAATCATACAATCATACACAATGAATATGCTATATATAGTGTCTGAATAACGGGGTTATGGGCAATCCTGCCAATGGTAATGCTTCATGGACGCAAAGCGGGTATCTGCCCTCATCCATGAAAAGCCAAGTGTACCGCTATAATACAATACTTACAAACATAAACACAAATCTTTAAGACAAAGAGATTATTAATTTTCCACGTAATGTGTGGGAAATCTGGGGACCAGCAGCTATGGCTAGGCAGGCGTCCGGTTTTGGGGCAAACCCAAAACGTTTTAGGAGGTTTTGGACAATTTCTCTGGAGCGGAGATCTGGAAGGAAAAATCTTCGGGCAACAAAACGGGAGGCAAGCAAGTGAATTATGTACATTCACTGGGGAGTTGAAATTTATAAATAAAAGTATATATTTTCTTCGCTAGAAATGTAATCAAAAACACATTTTTATGGCAGAACGAACTTCAAAATTATTGGATTTTTTTTTTGTACAAACTAGAAAATGAGAGAAATGTTCGTGCCATGGTTTTTTGGTTTCACGGTTGAGCTTGGACGACATAAAACAATAGGAAAAGAAGTAAGGCAGAAAAAATGTAACAGTATTACAAATTTAAAGGGCCATTTATTGATAAACCCCTCTACGTTTTTGCACTTTGGACTAACGTAGCCAGGGTACGTTTTTATATGAGACTGGGTTGCTGTTTCACAAGTAATATTTTTAAAACTACTCTAACGAACAATTCTGTTTGTAACAATTGACTTTGATAAAGCACCTTTTAAGTAAATACAAAAGCAGAATGGGAAATAATACAGTTGCAGTCAAATAGAAGTTGGAAAAAAGTGGGAAATATACAGTTAACTGTGGTGCAAATTAGCCTCTTGAAGAAGCGGATTGGAATGGAGTTGTAGAGTTTTAAAGACTTTAACATTAACGAGCAGCTGAGGAGTCTTAACATTCTACAATTAAAAACACTGGGTTTATATTTCATAGCCTGGTTCCAATATTTTCATACTTAATATATTTAAATTTGACTATCCTAGGCCAATAATCAATCATTAGATTCATTATTTACCCACCAAAAGTGAATTCCTGGCTTTGGGTAACACCTTATTTCAAAGGCTTGTGCCATCTTGTTCCATTATGCTGGTGAGAGGGCAGACATCTCTACGGCCAGAGGTGGCAAAAGTACACACATTTTTTACTCATGTAGAAGGATCAAGTCTCTCTCATTATGTCCTTCACGTCTGTCATGCAAGATATGCAACAGTCTTGAAGTCATGCACTGATGGGGTTGCCGTCAAATGCATTAAAACTAAAGTAACAAGCCTGTTTTGAAAATGTAGAAAGTACAGATATTTGTGTAAAAATGTTGGGAGAAATAGACTCAAGTAAAGTACAGATACCTAAAAAAAAAACGACTTAAGTACAGTAACAAAGTATTTTTACTTACTGCTGACTACGGCTGATATCTCCAAAACTCAGCAACTCACACCAAAACTATCTAGATAGATTATAGGTAAGAGAACAAATATGTATTTTTGAGTTTAGGCTGAACTGTCCCTTTAAGCTGTCTCTCAGAAGTCAAAAAATACAAATTTATATATACTGCAACACTATATCACTGGAATTCTCCTTGTAATGCTTGAGGTGGAGTATGTTTAGCTGACCGACATATTGCTCACTATGCTACATGCTCAGCCGTGGTGGTTGCTGTAGGCATTGTTTAACCTTAGCTTCAGGCTTCACCCACTTTGCAAAAACAGTTTCCTTGCCCCACAGATGGTAAAGATGTTAGCAAGGTTTAGAACAGCCTTTCAGAAACGTATGGCGTACACTATATCAATTTTTTTATCATTTATGAGCAGGATGTAATACGATGCAATAAGAAAGTCAATTAAGAAGTAGTCTTTTTAGCTATGTCAGCTACAAATTTATGAACTAATGTGACTGCAACTGTATTCAGTACATGAAAGGAAGGCAACCTTATTATCCAAAGTATGTTTTTTTTCCATTGTCCAATATTGCATTACCTCTGAGTAGTACACTTGAGCTCCTTATTTAGAATATTACCCTGCTGCACAGAGGGAGGTTTAAAATCAGCTAAAATGTTTGGATACTGTCACAGTTCACTGAGCATTTGCTTTGCAACTGTGCAAATACTTGCAATTACACCAATATCCCATCTAAAATAACGTATGACTGACATGTTTAGCTCAAAAGCCAACTGTTTGAGTCAGATTATTGTTGCTTAAACCCATTCACACACACATGTAGGCGTAGGACTGTGCATAAAGACATAACAGGGAGGAAGACACAGCTTATAGGAAAACTAAGCCTAAAGCAGAGCCAGGATTTCACGGTCAGAAACTTTCAATATTCTCTAAAGGAATAAGTAGAATGATAACAGTTAAACATGGTTTGGGTTTTTTTTTCTTTCAAGGGGTTTTGCCAGTTCTGTTCTGTTTTATGCTTAATTTTCCAGTTTTTGTGATCCAGCTTCAACACATATGACGAC